ATGGGTGGGCTTCAACTCCCAGAATTCCCCAGACAGCCATGTTGGAGTTGAAGCCCACCCATCTTAAAGTCGCCAAGGTTGGGAAACACTGACCTAGAGGATGGGAGGAATGTTCATTAAATTTGCGGATGACACCAAGCTAAGGGGATTAACACTGCCAAACGACAGAGCAAAACCACCTTGAGGGTTTGCACAGGGCCAAAATGATGCTCAGCGACCAGAAAAGGTCCAGAAGCTGGGCAGAAGAAAGGATCAGGGAGACCTAGCAGTGTGCATGAAGACTAGGGGTCCCAGTGCACCATCTGCCGAGCAAGCAGCGTGACCCAGCAGCTAAAAAGGGCAATGCAATCAGACTGCATCCAGATGGTTCCTCTCTGCCAGTTTAATCCACGCTTGGAGAACCACGTCCAGTTCTGGGCCTTGCGTTTAACTTACACAAGAGAAGATGGAGAAGACCTGAGGAAGGTGTCTACCAATACCCGAATGGCAGACCTATTCTCTGCTGAAACTGAGGGCAGGTCAAGGAACAACAGGCTGAGATTAAGAGAGCTGCTCTGGGTATTTTGGAAGAACATCCCAAAGGCAAGAACGATGGAACAGGAGAAGAACCTGCCTGGAACAGAGATGGACTTCTCTTTACTGGAGACTTCCAAATGGGGATCGGATGACTCACCAGGGAAGGATGTGTGGATTCTGGGGCTGGATTAGATGATGATGGTCTCTTGTAATTTAAACATCGCCAAACGTTTTGCAAAATAATTTCAGCAACATTTGAGCATTCTGTCCTCCATGAGTAACAAAATCAAATTACCACTGGCTTCAGGGCTTTCACACACACTTTCTGGAATGTTCGGCAAGCACTAGAGCTTGAGATTCACGAAAATCTTCCCTCCGCCTTTCCGGTTATATGCTGCTTGCATCTTAAATACTTTTATTATTGCAGAAAGTCACTGCTTCTGAGTGAACAGGTCACTAAGAGGTTAGAACCCATGCATTTGTTATACGTATTCTCTTGCAGATTTAGTGTCCCTCCTCAACTAGAATTCGAAAGGCTGTGTGGTGGGACGGATGTCCTGAACCCTACCAACATGAAGCACAATGCAAGGAAGTCAGAGTGATGCCACGTACACCTTGAGGGCCGGAATTGCATCCTCACAGCCTATGTATGGTGCACCGTGACCCCCTGGAACTCCTACTGCCCTGGCTGACTAGCAGGGGGCACTAGTTGACCCTTGTCAACTCTTCATGTGGAAGACCCTTCCTAGCAGCTTTCAGGGATCTTCCACGTAGAAGAGGCCTGAGTCTGAAGCAACTCAAAGGCCCATCCAGGCCAGCTTCTGCTCCTGCATTGACCAGCCAGGTCCCCCAAAGAGAATCCTGCAAACAGCAGGAACGGAGGCCAATTGCCTTGTGAACTTATGTGATCAGATGGGCGTTTGCTAGATTCATTGCTTCGGTAATCCTCTTGAAACCTGGGCAGGCCCAGCAAGTTGCCTTGGCAAGATGGGCAGCCGTGTAACTTGAATAAAATAAATAAATGAATGAATGAGTAGCAAGACGGTGAGCCCAAGGGGCCAATTCACCCTCCAGGAACACTTGAATCTAGTGCTGGTGCCACTGTGCTCCCACAGCCACAGGAGGGGGGAGGGAGGCAGGACAGGTTGTGTGGCTGAAGCTGTGAAAGTAGACAGCTGTGAGCAGATACGACAATGGGGTTTCTCGCAGCAGAGAAAAGCTCTGCGCTCAAACATTCAGAACCAAATTACCCAAACTGGCCAACAGCCTTGCCGCTTCATTGGCACATCTGGCCAGAAGGTGCCACTTTAGCAGCAAACCCTTGAGTGAGCTCACGGCTGCCCCCGGTCCAACCCTTCGCAGGAAAGCCACTGAGGTCCGGGCACACGGTAATGCTGGTTTTAATGTTCCTAAGAACTAGAAACAAAATCCAAAATAGACTTTCCTTTGCTCTTAAGTCATAAAATGGTTAGCACAGTTAAATTAAACCCTTAAAAAAAACAAAACCCCTCCTAGAAAGCCAGGAGCCTCAGGTGGAAACAAGACAACTACAAAAGGCGGCCGAGACCTTCTGTCCACACACACACAGTCCTTTGCTCTGCAACTGACAATAAACGGCGCCAGTGGAAATATGCAACGGGCACACTTGGAAAGAACTGGGACGAGGCAACAAGAGCAGTCACCACATGGACACATATTTACACTACTGATGTGCACGGGCACCATCCCACCTGCTTTTCCCACCTTCTGCTGCGAGGGCGGCAGCCCTGCCCCGCTTCCGCAGGGCCTCCAGCTGTCCCCCCCCGCCTCGGCCAAAGGGGACTTGGTGGGGCAGGAGGCACTGCCCTGCTGGGCACAGCCCAAGGAGATCTGCAGCTCATCCGGGGGACACGAGGGCAACAGGGGAGGCCAACGTGTCACTACCAGCCCTCGGTCCAGCATGCTGAGGTCAGCCGTTCCCCTCCCTGCTTTGGACAATCTGATTGTCCCTCTCTGCCTGTCAGTCCGCTACTGATCAATTAGGGGTCGACTCTCTGCTGGTACTCTGCTCCCGAACTGTCTCTTGTTCCTTGTCTGGAGCTGAAGAGGTGGCGGCGGCCAGGGTCCGTCCCGAGTGCTTGTAGGTGGTGACCAGCTCCTGCAGGCGTTCCTGCGTTGGCTCCCACTTGGCAAAGCCCGCGTTGTTCTGCAGGAACAGGACTGCTGTGTTGTGCACCGCTTTGTAGTACATCTCCTCCCTGCAGTTGCGGAAGACCAATACTCAAAGTCCCCCCGAGGGCTTGTTCACCCCCTGCCACCGCCCAGCCCTTAGGGAGGGGACAGCACACAGGCTACAACGCAGCGATGCAGCGCTTGCTCTGCACGGGGCTCGGGGGGGAGCAGGCGAGGGCCCTCCTGCTTTGCCTCGGAGGGTCACTGCGAGAACAGTCGCGGCTGCCCAGCTTCCTTTCAGGCTCTTTTCAGTTCCAGCCCCCAGCCGGGGAAGATGGTGCTGGACCCAACGGCCCAACATGCGGCAGCCCGAGAGTGTGTCCACTGGGCAGATGGCCAGATGTCTCCACGAAGTTCACTCAAGGAAGGCGCAGAAGCGTTTTTGGCACCTGCCCTGGAAGGGCTTTCGGTGCTTTTATGCATCAGGTCACGCAGCCGCCCCCGCCCCGCCTTCTTTTTTCGGCCCCCAGACTTCCTTTGGCTAGAGCTCCTTGTCGAAGGCTAGTGCTCCGGGGGACGCATGGAGAGAGTGGGAGAAGACCCTGCTCAGGGGCTGTGCCCCCCCCCGGGAAGGAGGCTGCTGCAAAGCCCGGCCTCAGGAAAAGAACCCGGCAAACCCAGAGACGGGCTGTTCCCGCTGCTGCGTGAAAAGGAGGTCCCTGGAAGAGGGAGGAGGACACCAAGGCGCTCCTCTCACAGAGCCCCCCCACCGGGGAAGGCTTGGGAGGGAACAGAGAACGAAGAGAGGGGGAAGAGAGCAGTCTGGGGTAGCAGCGAAGGAGCTGGCCTAGAAACCGGGGGGGGGGCGGGGAGTTCGAGGCCCCCCCTCAGGCATGAAAGCCGGCTGGGTGACTTGGGGCCAGTCCCATTCGCTCAGCCCAACCGTTCTCACAAGGTCGTTGTTGGGGGAAAAGAGGAGGGGGCAGGAGGATCAGGGATGCCTGCTGCCTTGAGTTACGAATACAAAGGTGGGATAAAAGCTTCGCCAGATTCCCGGCTTACTTTTTGCATACGTGCTGGGAGCCGCTGCGGTATTCGTGGTCGAAGGCCGGGAGGATGAGCTGCTGGCGCTTGAAGCGACTCTGCTCCATGCGAGTCAGGGCTGGCGTGGGGGGGTCTCGCCACTCAGGGATGAAGACAATGAACGACAAGGGCTCGCTGGACGTCTCCAGCAATTTCTAAGGTACACAGAACAGGCAGAAAGGCCAGCCAGTGAGTGACTCGCCCACCTGGCCTCCGCAAAAAAGGGAGAGCAGAGGTGCCCACGCCCTGCGGCCCAGCCTACCTCAAAGTGAGACACCATGGCATCCATCAGCTCCTCACAGAAGGGGGGGTTTGCCTGAAACGAGCCGCTGATGGGAAAGAAGTCCAGGCAAGGCCTGAAGGAAAGGAGGAGGAGAAGGAGGAGGAGGAAGGGGAGGAGGAGACGGCCAAAGCCAGTGAGATGACCGGGGGGGGGGCAGCCCCTGGGAAAGATGCCCTCCGCCCAACCCTCTTCCCCAGCGTGGCCCACGAACCACGCTCAGCGGGCCGGGTCCCGTCTCCTCCTCCCACAGCACCCGAGCCCCAAGGTGGGCGGGGAGCTCCCCCACGGGCACTCACCCTCTTGATCCAAAGTACCCGTCCGTGTCCAGGAAGGCCGAGCAGTATTGCTTGAAGTAACAGTTCAAGGGGGAGGCAAAGCACTCGAAGCTCACCCCAAAGAGCTTGTGGAGGGCTTCGAAGACATGCACCGGGAGAGCCCCCTGCAGGCCAGTCCCTTCGTAGAGCCCGACGCCAAACATCATCTGAGGAGGAAGGACGGAAGCCCTTGGGGAGCAGAACTCCAGGACAGGGTGGGCCTATCTTCTGGGCCAGTGCCAACCTGCCAGCCCCACAGCCTGGCCCTCCCCCCACCATCCTCCTGGCCCAAGCCCAGCCGGACGGGCCATACCTGGTATCTGCGGAGAAGGCACCAAACCCTTGGTAAGAAGCGCTCAAAGACCGAGTCGTCAATGCAACTGTATCGATAAAGCAGCCACTGCAAAGGAAAGACGGGCGCTGCAAGAGGATGCAAAGGGGCAGGGGCAGGGGCTCTGAGCCGCTGCCCAGGAAGGGCCCCCGGCCCCCTCCTGTAGTCTGGCTTGTTCCGTGCCTCAAAGCCCCCCTCGCCCCACAGATGACGCACCAACTTGCTGAAGTAGCTGCGGCTGACTTTCACCATCTCGCCCTTGTAGCGCACGCAGACCAGGCTGTTCTCCACGTGCATCTCCACGTTCGGCAGCGGGGGCGAAGGGACGGCCAGCCGCACCGGATAGCAGTAAACGAGCCGGTCCTGCGCATCGGGAGCCTCTACCTCGACTGTGGGCGATGGGAAGTTAGCCCTACGTGTACCGCACCCTCTCCCCATCAAGCGGGCTACCCGAACCACCGGAGAGCACTCTGGCACCAGAGTGCCCGCCCGAGGAAGTCAGCCCCGCTCCCTCCACCCGGGACCCACAGAGAGCGCTAGGACAGGCGGCTTCTCTGCTGCCCGCCCTTCTCCCTTGTAGCTACCAGATATGTTGTGTTCCTTTAGGATGGCCAGGTGCTTCTCACGAATGCGCTTGACGTACTCCAAGGAGATGTGGTAGATCTTACTGCAAATGCCCTCCACCGAGTCTTTTGCTGCGGCAGAGACGTGGGGACCGCACTGCTTGCGCAAGTGCTCCAGGCGGTCCTACACAGGCAGGAGAAAGAAACGGCTCTTGTGAGCTTCCCGGTAGCCGCTGCACTTAGCAGTGTGGAACACCTGCTTTGCGCTGCTTCTCTCTGTGGTGGAAAACTCGCCCAATAAATGCCAATAACTGAAGAGGATCCGAACGATCATCTTATTTCCAAAGCCAGCAGGCTACACCGAGCTACTGGTCTCTTCCACCCAGACGAGCCGGGGCAAGAACTCCAAAGTTGATGTGACTTATATAAAACATTGATGCCGGACAGGACAGTTTGAGTGTCCCTATGCGCTAACGGGAGACGCAACAGAGAAATAATGGCTTTACAACTGATAAGGAGACAAGATAACTCTAAGAGCATGGAAGTCACAGTGTGAAGACATTATAGACGTACTATTTGGAATGGCGGCTTTGACAGATGAGAGGGGTCAAGGCTCTAATTGTCACTTTAACAAACTGGCCCAGTAAGTAAAGGAGGGGGAGAAATAAGGAGGCAAAGCAGAATCTACCACCTTTGCTCAAAGCATAAATTCTATTGCCGCGTATTCACACATGGGCAATAAACTGGCACTTTAACAAGAAATCTGTACTTAGAGGACCTACACAGAAATACAGCTGGAGACCATGTGCAACGATGCATTTGTGTATAAAGGCATGATTACAAAACAGTCCAATTCCTGTTCCATCCCGCACATCTCCCTGAAGAAAGCACACCAACCATGTAGTCCTCCTTGGAGGCGGAGCGATCCCGCCGCAGCCAGCTGAAGGTATCTTCTACGTTCCACTTCACCACCTTCCTGCTGTCCGGAGAGGCGCTCCTGCACACAGAGAGAAATACCTGCTGGCTCTGAAGGCCAAGAAACTGAGCCTCGGTTTAACCTGCCTCTGGAGAGCCTGGTCCCGAGGCTTCTGCTCCCCCGTCTGGGGGCTTGGGCCCTTCCTTCACCGCTGCACAGTGCCCACCCCCCTTCCCTGCTGGATTGCCTTCTGGGAAGAACAGGGTTCCCCCTCCCACGCTAAAATAGCTAAAGGTGCTCCAACCTGGATTCGATGAGCCGCTTTGCAGCCTCGGCATATTTGAAGAGCAGCCGCTTGGCTTCTTCCCGGAACTTGATTCGGGACAATCTGCAGCGCAGACAGGAGAGGGGAAGGGCTGAGGGTTGGGCACCAGGTGGCCAGCTTCGCAAGATGCCCTGCAGGTCACCCCTTTCTAGCTATACCTGATGGGAATGTCATTCATGATTTCTCGGAACATGGAAGGAGATACAACAGGCTCGCAGTTGCTCGGCAGCAAAGGATCCGTCCCTTTGTCCACCACCTTTCGCTCGAGCATCCAGCGGTTGAAGGACTCCCGTGGAGGATCAATTCCTGAGGGAGGAGCCGGAGACGGACAGGCGGGCTCAGCTGAAGCACCCCCTGAGACAAGGCCAGCAGTCCGTAAGGGTTAAGGGGAGGCTTTACCCTCTCGCTGCTGGCAGAGCTCCCGGTAATGCTGCCGCAGCTTCAGCATCAACTGAGATCGGAGCAGCTCCACTTCAGGGTGTGGGGTCAGCACTTCGGATGGGGCCCTCTGCTTAATGACTGCGTTGGTCTGAATGTCCAAGTCCCAGTAGACTCTGCAGAAGGAAACCCATTTACGGCAACAATTGAAAACCCTTCTAAAGCAATACCCGCTCTTGCTTCAAAAACCCAGAAAATTGCAATGCAGAAAAGCCCATCGCCACGCGGATCCTAAAAAACTTTGTCCAGTTTCATACGCTATGTTGGTTTCACCAGTAAGGATCCACAGGCCCACAACCTGCCCTTGCAGACCGACAATGGGCTGGGCAGGAAGGCCTCCTGGAAGGCACATAACTGGAAAGACCCTGCCTGGTGCTTTATGGCAGTGAATCTTTATTAGACATGGGGCTTTTTCCCCTTTTGAGCTGACGACTGCACAGGGAAGTCCCTGCAGTTCTCTTGGGAACATTTCCCAGAAGTGGTTTGCCCTTGGCTGTTGCTTCCTCGGGCTGTGAAAGAAGCCCAAAGCCACCATCCTGGCTTCTTGCCTAAGGCAGGACTAGAGCTTACAGTCACCCAGTTTCTAGCCAGGTGCCTTAATTACTACACCAACTGGTTACTATCTGGGGTTAAGCATTAATATAGATTCCAAGACTGTAATTGACAACTGGGAAAACAGGAGAACTGCCAAAATCAGGGGAATGTGCGAAACTGCAAAATACAGCTGTTTGTGCAGAAAGAACGGGATTATGAAATAGTAAGCAGAACCCAGGTTTTTGTGACTGCCCGTGATTAGAATCACTCTCTGTGGCAGGGCCTGGCCTATGGAACAGCCTCTCTCCTGGGGTCCAGATGGCCATGACCCCGTTGGCCTTTCCTAAGGCACTGAGGACCTGGATGTTCCCATAGGCATTTGGGCCAGAAGGCTCAGTGAGCCCTGTTAGTTGATCATTTTAGCTCTTTTCTTTTTAATAGTAATTTTATTAAAAATTACAAATACAACAATAAAAACTAATACAAACTGAAAAAATGAAAGAATAAAAAGAAAAAATAGAATGTGCAGAAAAGAAAAAATAGAAATGAAACAAGAAATAAGAATACAGTAAAGGAAAAAAATATTTACATATAAAGAAATGACTTCCCCCTTCATTCCAACAAGTGTAAACAATTTCAGTAACTTATCACCTTCTCTTAAAATACAACAAATAATCTCTCTGTTGATCAGTTTAGTTCTTGTCTTTACTGACTGGAATTATTTTTAGACCTCAGACACATATTATATTATTATTATAAATGTTGTTGTTGCTTTTGGTTTTAACCCTCTGCTCACTGCCCAAAAACACAGGTGAGAGACAGACGCTATATAAATTGCTTAAATAAAAAAAAAAAAGTTCAAAAGATTGTGCATGAGAAAAAGAAGACTGTAGACTATATTCTCTGAGGATAGCCAAACTTTCTGAAATGCACATTTCAAAAGCTAAACTTGCACCAAACAATTGTTAGAAAGGAAATACCCAGTTTTTCTTTCAACAACATGCAGGGCAGGATGAGAAAGAAAAGCCACGGATTTTCTAAGTGGCGGTGTACGGGGCTACGCTAGGGTCAGCTGAAAGCATACTGCGGGCTAAGCCTCCTCCTGCCCAGCAACTCTCCCAGATTCACCAGAGGGCATCCCCAAGGTCTGACTCACTCGGTGGGCCGTAAGAGAGCCGTCTGCCGGTCTTCAGGAGAGACGCCCCACACCTTCAACAGTGGCGTCCCGGGGGTGCTGGAAACATTTGGGACTGGCTGAGCTGTGGGGTTTCCTGGTACCTCCATCTGAAAGTGAGAAACGCCTTTGAGCTTGGGAAAGGAACAGGCTCACCCAGCAGCAAGCACCAGCTCGTCCTCATGCCCCTCCCATGCCCCAACCCTGAACTGCAGAACAGAGGCGGACGGACACTTGTCACTGGGCTCTGGGAACTTCTGGACCTTCCAGTTGTGAAAGAGATGAACGGCAGAGCAAGGAAAACAGTGAGGCTGAGGAGGCTTCTGGGAAGGCTGCGCCAGGGACACCCAGGTCTGCTGGAGGGCCCAGAGTTCTTCAGGTCACAAGCAGGCGCTAGCCTGCGGCCCTGTCGACTCCCCTGTCACACCAGCCGATGTTGGCCCTTGGAGGCAGACCAGACGAACAGCGAAGCCGCGAATGCTAATGCTACTTTTATTGAAGGGTTACAGAAACAGACTCTTGCAAGTCTGAATAGGTCTCCCTGCTCCCTGCCTTTATCCTAACGAGAACTAGGGAGGGTCAAGCCAGAGACGCTTCTCAAATTTCCTTCCTGCTCCGGACTGCTTTTCTCTTACCTGACCACTGCTTTGGCTGCGGCTCTTCCTCCTGTTCCTCAAGGTTATTCTCACAGCCCACTGCAGCCAGGCTCTGCCATCACAACCCACTACCCCAGCTGGCTGAACGCTCGGTGTTTTGGTCTGCCTGAGAGCTATGGGTCCAAGAGGAGAGGGCACCCTACCTTGGGCTTTTTTGCACTGTTGCCACTGGGCTGGCCCTCCTCAGAGAGCCTCCGTTTCCACATCCTGCTTTCGGCAGTGGTGACTTCACTGGCTCCCCCTTCAGCGGGCATTGGAGCAGCATTCAGACCCAGAGGGTCGGACTAGGAAGCCCAAAAGAGAACTGTTAAAACGAACTCTGGTGTCCTGAAACAAGCCGCGCAAGCAGCTACCAGGATCCTCCAAGGGGCCATGCCCCAGAGCAGCCAAACCAGCAACTCACAATGACGTCATGTTGCCCCAGCAACGGCATCTCCCAGAGGGACTGGTTGGTGAAGCGGTTGAAGTAGTAAGGGCGATTCTCACGTTTGCTCCAGCACTTCTCCCAGCCCGCCTGCACCAGCTCATCTGCGGGTGAGGTAACAACATCCAGTGTTACGGGGGGAACGGGTGTTCTGGCCACCCACACCAGCAGTTTCCCAGAGCCCCTGGCTCTGCTCCATGGTCAAGGGTTACCTGGCAAGTCCTGCACCAGACGGGCGGGTTTGGGGGAGCTTGGCTGGTTTTGGTGGGAGGTGCCGGGAGAGTGGCTCATCAGAGCAGCTTCCTCCCTGGAGCTGCCGTGGTTCTCATTGGCCATTTTGCAGCATTGGCACTGGGGAAACAAGGAAACGGCATCGCTACATCTCCTGCCCACAGCCAAACCCACGCGCAACGCAGAAGAATGCTGGCATCGCACCAGTTGACTGTCAGGGGACCTGCTGAATCCTGCCAACTGCAGAACTCCCAGAACCCTGTGGGGAATCAAGTCCGAATTCCACCCTTGTCCCATTAGGAGAATCCTAGCATCAAGGGGGCCGATCAAAAACACGGACCGTTTATTCAGCACTCCTGAAAAGCCTGCATAGGAGAAGAGAGGAAGGGGATGGGGGACAGTCTTCCATGCTTCAGGGCTGTGAACCAATTTGCCACACTGTGGTACTTGAGCGGCCTCTCGTACAAAACTGGCATAATGTGATTACTATGTGATTCAACTAGGGCGATCAAAGCGTGCCAACTCCCCTTCAGTTTCTCCCACTCAGGCCCTGCTCAGTGCTCTTCTCCGCGCCAGCTGCTAAGCTTTGCTCCAGCTTTTTTTATCTTCCTTCTACTGAGGGTGGGGGCCACCGATTTTAGGCGCATGCAAAGCCCCGCACGAGGAGCGGCGAGAGACGGCGCGGGGCTCGGAGGGTGAACCCCGCAAGAGCAACGGCGGGACTTGGTGCGTGCAGCCCAGAGAGGAGGGGGCCGGGGAGACGTGGAGGGGCGTCGCAGAGCACCCGAGGAGAAGACGGGAACCGGCAGGGGGGCTTTGCGGGGGGG